AAATGTAATTTTATTTGAAATTGTTTAATTTTTAACATTGTTTATTTCAAATGTTTACTTTGAATTTTAAAAATTTAAATTTATATTTTATTCTTTAATAATAACATAATTTGAAATTAAAAAAAAATAAAAATTAAACGGAACGACAAATGTGGCGTGGCCTTGCCCCGCCCCGTTTGAGGCTGGTCAGGTCGCGGGGGTAAAACAAGGGTTGTGGCTTGCTCAAATTTATATAGGTATTTTGAGAGTCCTAAAAGCTATTGACTAAGTAGAAATGAACACTTGTTCTAGATTTTCTAAACCAGATCTACTATAAGAACAAGGTCAATGATAGGATTTTATACAAATATAGACTTGGTAAAATTTCATTGGCAGTTAAAAAAAATAAAAGAAAAAGCTGTCAATCAAAAATTGCCATTTTAACACCTGAAAATAGCTCGTCATTGACCCTATACAACCAGCTTAATCCTTTCTAAACTGTTCGATAAAAGAAGAGAATGAATGTTGAAAAGCAATGGTAATTCTTAATTTCCGCATAATCAACTGCCTCTACGATATAATTATCTGATTTACAAGGACAAATGGATGACGTTGCAGTTGAACATGTATTGAATCATTAGACGCATCGTACATATATAAAGGAGAATAAACTAAAACACTCGACTAACAAGATTATAGAGAATGTTAATAGAATTTACCTAAAAAAACGTGCGATTAAAATGATGTCTAATCATCTTATAAATATTTAAAAATACTACCAAACAAATAAATATCTTCAACAAGACTTAAAAGCATCAAAGTGGAATCTAATGAGCCTATCAACATCCCTCTGCTCCAAGAGTCACGGTTCCTTATTTTGACAAATCTTCAATAGACATTAAAATATAGGTTACTTTGCCCGTCGAGACATAATCCAATAATACAAAAGATAAGAGTGAGATTATCTCACGTCTTGCTGATAGCCGCAGTGTGGGGGGTTCGATTTCTGAAACATAAAATTGAACTCCTTGTAAGCGCAGTATACAGACAGCTCTTGTTTTTTAGCTTGTTGGGACACATCCCGTAATTTACCTCCCTCACAAAGCTCTAGGGACGGAGCGGTGGAGACCCTTAAGATTGAGGTTCAACCATTTTTTTTTATTTTTTTTTTAAATATAGGTAGTAAGGTGCAATGTACACTTGGACAAACAGTTACGTACAACAGACATATGATATAGAGCCTCATCGAAATCATAAGTTACAAAAAGTTACTTTTATACAAGCTCTTGAATAATGTTCTTAGCTTCTAAGAGAGGATCCGTGTGACGAACACTAGTCACCCTTACATTCTGCAAAGGAAGCATCGTCATACCTAGTTCGACTAAGCGCTCTTCTAAGCCCTTAGTGGCATTTGGATCCATGAGAACACCACCAACAGTCTGCAAAGAATATGAAAATTAGTAGTGTCAATGAAATGAACATATCTTCAGTAATAGTTACAAAATCAGAATTCTAAAAAAGCCTTCTATGCCAGGAGAAACAAAGCATCGAGTTGGTATGTCAATCTATAGCAAAATTTAAGAGTATATTTTCATAAGACTTTCTTAGTTTAGCAGCAGACAGTGCGGGAAGGAGAATTAATGGATGACCCATCTAATACATTTTAAGGTATTTTCTTACTGAACAGATGATATTCTCAGCTTGTCAGGCATTAACTACTTGACACAATAGAAGTAGCATCCTAAATCTGCTCTACAAGGACGACATGAGGTTTTATTATTCGTCAATGAGGTCTTATTATTCTTTATTTTGGCCATTTAGCTTACCCAAAATGTGCTAAAACAAGCACTTATAATCAAGCTTCTAAGGAGATTTTCATCTGAGCTGCTAACCAAATCGTCTGAATCAACAGAAAATGCAAGGTCTTGACAGGAAGAATCAAACACGGATCCGTAGTTTTTCACTACAACTTGGCCATGCCGCGTCAAGATTTTGTTTAGGTGGCATGCTAGCCCCATTCTAGCATTAGATCTCTCAAAAGTTCCTGCATAAGTTTCAAGTGAATATTCCTCATAGTGTAACCCAAGCAAGATTGAAGCAGTCTCCCAGTCGGCCCAGCAACAACAGGACGATGACCCATCATCTACACAAGGAACAGAAGAAATGAGGAATATCTAGCAATGACAGAAAGAGGTCAAAATTTTGGGATATCCTGCAGTAATGGAAAACAACAAATTTCCTGAACCTACATAATCAAAGACAATTATATTCTAATGAAGACAACATTGACATTTAAAAACGTATACTTTGTAGATCAAGACAAACACTTCCAGAAAATAAAAGGAATAACTTATAATAGTGGATAACAAAACCACAAGCTCTTTTAAGATTGCAACAAGAGACCAAGTGCAAATATAATATTATATATAACCTTGATCCAGATGTACATATAGATAACTAAATAATATAACAATAACTGCAAATTCATGGCCAGTCAGACTCAAACTTGTGGAAACGTCACATACTGGATATTTAATAGCCTTCCCTCAGCATTTTTAATTAAGTAGTGCATGGAGATTCATACATAAAGAGTGAGCCAACTTTGAGCTCTCCGGGAAAACTGAACCACCCTACCCCCCAGGCGCTCCTTGACACCAAAAAAAGAAAAAAAAAATGAAACTTAAGGCTTTATGTCGAGTAGAACCAAGAAAGAATACATGTGATTGCTAATTTATTATTAGTAAGTAAGCAAAAGGATAACGGAAAGACTATAGAGGATCTTGTTGTCACAAACATGAAATGATCAAATTGTCACCCTTCCTTTCAGAGGAGTTAGAACTGGCCAATCCATGGGTATACTATGAAGTTACAAAGGTTGTACTTGTGAACCAACCCACTACAGTGAAATAGGCCCAAGGATAGAGCAATAGACCGGACCAGAAATGAGGAATTAAAAAAGATGTAATGCACATTGTTAAAGCCTGTTCAATGAAGGGGAGAAGTACAAGAATCGGCTGAGCTAGGAAGATTTGTACAGGGTTAGAGGCAAGTTCTACACAATGATTTCACATGCTACGTTTTATGTATTGTGTTGCGTTGTTTAAGGACAACGAGCATAAAATGAATGTAGGAGAAAATGAGCGGTTATACTCAAATGCACAAGATAAGAAATGAAATCTACGCCATCAGGTGGAGATGGCCCCAATTGAGGATATAAGAACAGGATGATGACTTAGGAAGTAGGGATATGTTTGTGTCGGTCTGAAGAGGCTTCAGGCTTCTATTCCTAAGAGTGACAGTATTTTAGTAGAGCAAGTCATAAGACAGGAAAAAGCCAAAATCAACATGGGATTGTTTTTGTTCAGACCGGCAAACATTCTAATATACTACCTTCAAGTTTCGAGAAGAACATTGTGCTAATGTACATAAATGCCTCAATGCCAACAGAATTAATTTAACATCATCAAGCAGAAAATATAATATTATTAAATATGTCTGGGCCTTGCATTTGGTGGGAACTAGATTCTTGAGACTTTAAAACTCTCAGAAGCTTCAAGCCATAAATATGAATATAACTGCTCAAAACTGTTCAAAACATGTCTCTTTGGTGGGTTAAGAATCTCAAGACTTTAAAACTCTCAGATTATGCCTTCTTCCCATAAATTTGAACTTAAGAATTCTATCATACAATCCCTAGGGGGGCATTTGGCTTGTCGTGTTCTGTTTTTAGCGTTCAAAAACGCCCAAAACGCATTTGGTCACTCGTTTCCGAAAATGTATTTCCGAAAACAATGAAAAATTTATAACTCAAAAATCAAAACGCTCAAAACACCCCCCCTTTTTTTCAAGGGATACTTTTAAAATAGTAAATTCACCAAGTTTAAAATATATATTATCCGGTAATATATTAGCATAAAATTATTATGTTTTACTAAATAATCAAATTAATTGAATAAATGTCATAAAACAATTTCTAAACATTTACTACTTTATTTTTGTAGCAAGAAAAAATAATAAATTCACCAAGCTCAAAATATATATTATCTGGTAATATATTAACATAAAATTATTATGTTTTACTAAATAATCAAATTAAATGAATAAATGTCATAAAACAATTTCTAAACATTTATTATTTTATTTTTGTAACAAGAAAAAAAGTAAATTCACCAAGTTTAAAATATATATTATCTAGTAATATATGAACATAAAATTATTATGTTTTACTAAATAATCATTTTAATTGAATAAATGTCATAAAACAATTTTTAAAAATTTTAAACCAAACGCATTTTCTAGTTTTCTGTTTTGAAAAACCGTTTTTCAAAATGACAAACCAAACACATTTTCTTTAATTCGAAAATAGTCCATCAAAACAGAAAACGCAAACCAGATGCACCCTAAGTTTTTTGGGAATAAGATTTGGTCATTTGTTCGGTATTTTCAATTAACAAGATCTTATTAAAAAAATACAGTATGATTTTTTTACACTTAAAACCTAAATGATGCAAAGCTCTCGAGCAATTTACTCGCACTTTTTGCAATAAGTACCTTTTCATATCACCACATCAGAGGAAATGAATACGTACCCAACACAAAACCAGCAAGTGGGATGTCAACTATAGATGATCTGGACTGAAGACTAGGTTGCAAAAATAGAGTTTTTCTTCTCTCTAATATAAGGATATAAACTGCCACAACCTGTCAAAGCAACTAAAGGTTAAACCAACGAAGTAGACTATAATAGCTTTAATAGTGATTGTGTAAGTGGAATATAATAATACACAAAAAATCAGAGAGAACAGGACTTCAATCAGCATGCAAGGCACAAATTTCTCCATTTAGCGTAACTTACCCTGGAATGAATTTGTACCGGTTTAAGATCTGGAAATTGCACAAGTTCAGATATCAAAGCTGTAGGTACAACATCATTTGGAGAGGCAACGATGTGTAAGCGTACGGTGCCAGATGCGTAATCACATTCATCACTGAAATGGCGATGTATCAAACGAGTGTGGTGGATTGAGATAAAAGATACAGGTGTTACCATAAATTCATTCCGCCCACTGGGAAAAAAACGCATTTGTTAAATTAGCCAGTCTGAAAGCAATGGCTTGATAAAAAGACAGAGAAAACATCTTGTTTCCAAGCAGGCCTGCAACTAGGAGCCTGACTTCCAAGACATATTCTTGATTTATAATGCATGACATAAATAACAAAACAAAAACTGCACCATTAAAACGGATCATTAACTATATATAAAGCTATAAACAATATTTTAAACAGAGATTAAAGCAAATTTACAAGCACTGTTTAACATATTCCATAATCCCCCTGACAGAAACTAAGGACTTAATTTGACTTTCATGGTCAAATGGGCCATATTATAAGGCTTAATTTTTCATACATTGTTTAGTTTTGAGGGGAAGAAACATGCATGGTAAGTAAGTTTATCATTTGGAAACTACTCCGAACCTAAAAGGTAATTAGAAATGACGCAAAATATGGCCTCATACAATCTCTGTTTTAACTGAAAAGTGAAACCAAAGCCGTTTACGTTTCACTCAAGGAGTACAAAATTTTCTATAGTGAATAAAGAAAATTCCCATTTTGCTTTGGATGTTCTGTTTTCTCATTATAAGGAGATCTAATTACAAAAATTCTTTGGAGAAGAAATATAGCATTATATATGAAGTAGATCTGCAGAAATTAAAAAGCATAAGCTTGCACCCGAGAATTTTCAGAATTCAGCATATAAACTTAAAACACTGATACATCAGTGCCAAAAATAGTTATCATACTTAAAACAATGAGATAAAGATCAGAAGTTATGCATTCGGCCCAAAGCATTTGAGCAAAATTTAGACAATAATACCTAAGCACAAGAATTCGGTGAAAGGTTGCATACACGTCACTTCCTAATCCAATAGGGTAAGCACGTTTAGATAGATTGCCAAAAATTTTGACCTGGCCATTAGGGTAGTTTCAATTAGTAATAAAATTTGTATCAAATTGAAGACAGTAAGGGTAAGCAAGAAAATACTATGCGCTGGTCCACCAGAACATGCATACAAGTCCTTTCTCTTCCTTGGAGAAACATTGGAAGGCAACCAGTACTGTTTCCGTCAACTCTTATTTGTGCGGCAAAAGAATGATGATCACACTCATGAACAGCCACTACAAGTCCATGTAAAGATATTAAGTTCCCCTCAGGCAGAAGGTGACCAGAATGTGAAGTTCCTGATGATTGCATTGATGCAGTAATCATGGCCCCAGAACAATCATGAATATCTGATTCTTGTTCAAAAGGAAATGACGGCCCAATAATACAGCCTTCCAATAGTTTGATATCATTCTCCAATAAACTTAGAGCATCAGCAGGCACAAATATATTCATATCTGAATATATTTCATAATTCACACCATTAGATGTCAGACTTGGAATTTGAAAATGCTGGTAACCTTTAGAAATAACCTCATCACATCTGGCAGGTGAATTATGAGATGAAAACAGATAAGAGAAATCTGAACTTTGGAGACTCTTCAAATTTGAGAACCTAAGACTCCAAAGATGTGTCCCAGAATTGATGATAACTTTAGCACCAGTGACTACATTGTCTTCAATTACATTGCAAAACACATCTTCATCCTGATGTTTTACAATGTAAAGACCACCAATTTTCAGAAACTGCAATTTCAATAAATTCTTCAGCTTGAGTTAAATAGTGAACAAAAATAAAATACAGAAGATTACACCATCGCTAGTTATTAAAGGAACATAACGTACCTGATACGTGCAAAAGCTATCAGAATTGAACTCCATTATTACCTTCCTCGTATGAGGTTCAAAACCAGAAACAATCTCAGCATCTGACTTGCTGCAACGCAAGACTCCCCAGCAATGATATTTAGCATCTTTTTGACTAGTAATTAAACATGTATATTCTAGCGGGTTCTTAAAACAGCATTTGTCCTCTGTAGAATTGTTGTGAGAACTATAGGAACCATCCAGATGACTACAGACTCTATTCCCAGCATTATCCAAGCCAGCATCCGAAGACTGGCTCGAAGACAGATCAATTTTACACCTCTTACTAATAAAACGTTTCTCGCATCTAGTAAAATTTCTGAGAGAATCTCTTGGATGGTCCATGGAAATATCGGTCACGAGCGTACCTCTGTCCTTTTCTGCAAGAAGTAAATCCCAGGGAAGGATTATGGCCTCAGAAAAAATGTTTGACCACTTTGAAATAACTTGATCTCCTTGAAACTGAAAAAGATGGAAAAAAATGTGTATAAAGAAGAAAAAAGGAGACAAATCGTAATATATTACATGCATTATTAACAAAAGCATACCTTGCATTGAATGGGAAATTTGTGTGTTAACATTAGCAAGTGAAATCTTCCACCTTCAAGTTCATCAAAGTTTTCTTTCCAATCAAAGAAAAGAGAACATGGATGATTTCTAGAATCTTCACCTGTTCTATGGCAGTAAATATAAAGTGATGTCTCCATCTTTCTCACCAATGGAGCATCATTAAAGATACTTTGGCAAGATAAAGAGTTATCCGAAAGAACATCCAAGTTAAGTGTCCTTTCAGGTATTCCTTCCATAACTACAATGAAGTCCTTCACCTGAAATGAGTGAAGATATAAGCCAGTCAGGAGGTAAACACATAACACCATCTGCACTTCAATTGATAACAGAAAGTTGTCTGACTGTACTGTTTAGATGCAAATCATCATCACCTCAAAAATCCTGTTAGACTTCCAAGTTGATGGAAGGTCACATACAACATCAATACTCCCAGTTGCATCAACAAGCTGAAATCTGCCAGAAGATGAAATCTGGATAAACAACATAATCCAAGTCAAACTAACAAATTTCAAGTTTCCAATGTTGGAGATTTGTAAATAATTATGTCCAAGCTTATGCTGATTACAATTTTTACAGGAACCTTGAATTGACTTCTCAAAATAATCAAAAGCTGAATAAGGAAGTGCTTCTCTACTCGAAATATGTATAAGTTCCTAAGAAAGCATCCATACATTTCTGCAAAAATATATTATTTCTATGTATGTGCAAGATTCAGGAAATACACATGAGCATGCGGCACCA